CCCAGTCAAACCCAACAGAAACAAAAGGGTCCCTAATCCGCACAGGCTGGCTGAGGATTAGATGACACCATGTATAAGAATGCTTCCCCGGGGGCCTGGCTCTCGGTCTGGGGTCACCCTTCCCGACTCCGTGAAGCCCCACCACCCCTCCCCCGGCATGTGGAGACCCCCGGACAGACAGCAGAGCGAGCCTCTCGGAGACACACGGTGCCTCTGACAGGCCCGTGCACCTTGACAAACTTCCTTTTTACAAACTGCATCAAATCCTCTTTGGAAAAAGAAACTGTAAATAGCAACAAGAACTGAGACATAAATAACCACCACAGAGGAGTGACAACTGTGTCTCCCCCCTGGAAGCTTCACACACATTATCTGCATCACAAGAACAAAAAATGTTTACGGAACCAGGGCCCTTCAGAATTTCGGAGCCCCTGCTGGAGTAGGACCGGCTCTGAGTGGCTCTGAAGGGACACGAAGCTGTCGGACGGGACCTGAGTGAAGAGGAGGCCTACTAGGGCCGCCTTGGGCATTGCCACCCCCCCATTCGCCTTGTTTACAAGGACGAAAGCAGGGCTGGGTGACTAAGTCACTTGCCCGAGAGAACCCAGCAAAGAGGAGGGCAGAATCGAAGCCCAAGTTCCTGCCGCTTCCCTGGAGTACTGCCCCATGGAACGAGCCGGCACCCACTTTTATGTGGCCTCAGGAACTCCAAGTCCCCACAGCGAGAATGGCACCATAGGGACCTTCTTGACCTGGTCATGGTAGACTGGGAGGTCAGTGACATCACATGGACCCACAGGGCGTGGCCAACGCCCAGAAATGACCATGGATTGGGTATGTATCCACACAGAGAATTCTCCTCTCCCCTGGTGCATCCCCTGGGGGTATCCCCGTGGAGTTCTTTACAGAGCTGGAATCTGGGGGACAACCTCAGGGTCCAATGGGGGGGATAAAACACAGTAGGGGGTGGCAATGACTGGGACTATGGGGGAACTTGAAACTCAGGATGCAGAGAGACAAAAAAAGCTGGGCAACAAGGGTCACAGTTCAGCTTCAGGATAAAAGGCTAGCCGTAGAGCGGAACAAAAACGGCCAGGCGGACACTGTTTCACAGGGACAATCTCGAGATGGAGGGGTGAAGGGTCACTGTTTCTTGGCTCTTTTTACATACACTTGCCATGATCTAGAGAGGGTTCTCCAAGGAGCCCGTGCTTGGAGGGTAACCACAATGTGGTTTTATAACGACCCCTGTTCAAAGTCACACTGCATTAAGCAAGAGAGAGGACGGGTGTCCCTAGGGGTTAATTCGCTAGTCCAAAGTCACACTGCCAGTGTTCATTCAACAGATTTTGGCTGGTACCTACTCAGAGGCCAGGAGCTGCTCGGGGCCTAAGGGAGGCAGGAGGGGACACACCCAGGTGGCTGGACTACACTTCCCAGCCTCCCTTGCAGTGGGGTGTGGGCACCTAAGTCTCACCCAGGGAATAAGAGACTGTTCGATCTTCTCAGGCACTTAGAATCCAGCTTGTGTTTCTTTCCAAGTCAAGAATCAGGATGCTGCCAGGACCCAGAAGCACCCTGTGCACCCTTCCTAACCTCAACTTCGCCCCTCCCTCCTCCACAGGTAACCGCTGTCCTGATTTTGCCATAACCATTGTCTAGCTTTTCACCTCCCTTCCTCCACATTCCCAATGGCACAGCTGGTTTGCCAGTCCCTGAGCGCTCTGTGACTGGACTCAGGCTGTCTGCAGGGTTTTGCTATCGCTCACCGTGTCTATTCGACGTCTCCACAGTGCCCGACATTGCCCGTTGACCCTGGTGCACCTGCCCCCATTTCTCTCGGGGAGACGCCCGGAAGGGGACGCCATGCGTTGGGATGTGAACGTGTCCGTGTTAGCGCGGTAACTTCTGTTTCCCGAAGCGCGACCACAGTGTTGCCACACTTCGTCCACGCTGCATGGGAACAACAGTCTCTCCCTATGCCCTCACTTTGCGTGACCTTTCTCACCAGTGGGAGCGTGCCAGACCTGTTTGCTTGTGTCTCCTCTTCCGCAAAGTGACCGTCTTCACACTTCCTATTGGCTCATTTGTCTCTTTCTCACTGAGTTCTTCGTCTATTCTGGACCTTTAGTACTTGCTGGTTAAATGGGCTGCAAACGCATCCTCCAAGTGTGCGGCTTTTCTTCTATTTTCTTCATGGCATTTTCCGATGAATAGAAACTCTTGACGTTTAGTGCAATCTGGTTTATCTACCTTTTCTTTTACGGTTTAGACTTTTCGTGCCTTTGGGAATCGTGACCTACCACAAAGTCCCAAATAGATTCTCTCATGTCTTGTAAAAGTTTTCAAGGTTTGTTTGTTTGTTTGTTTGTGCTCTAATTTCACTTTGAAATCTTTGATCCAGCCAGGAGTGCTTTTTCCGTGTGGTGTGAGGGAGGGGCTCCAGTCTCGCTGTTTCCATCCGGATGAACAACTGTCTCCCGTTTGTTCAGCAGGGCATCCTTGCCCACGTGGATCAGCTACGTCACCTTTGCCAAAGTCAGTCTTTACACGCAGGGATCCGTTCTGGCCTCTCTGCATTGGTCAGTCCGCCCGGCTGTGCACCAACACTGCACTCTCTTTAATTCCCACAGCTTTACAGTGAGTGGTTTCCTTGATGAAGATAAATCATTCAAGGACTCTAGGTTAGACTCTTAAAGATCAGCCAGCCAGACCATTCATGGGGAAATTGAGGCTCAGAGAGGGAACACACCATCTAACCAGGAACATTGTGAAGGCCTGAATATTCATGTCCTCCCTCTCCCCAAAAACTCCTATGTTGGAATTCAGGTCCCAGGATGATGATATTTGGAGGTGGGACCTTTGGGACGTAATTAGGTTATGAGGATGGAGCCCCCATGGACAGGGTTATAAGAGGTCAGAGAGCCCACTACTTCTCTCCCCACCACAGGGGGGCGCACAACAGGAAGTCAGCAGCCCGCAGCCCTGAAGAAGGCCCCTGCTGGACATGGCCCCTGCAGGCACCCTGATCTCAGCAGCGCTCCGGCCTCCAGAACTCCGAGAAACAAATTTTCTGTCGTGTGAAAGCCGCCCAGGCTGTGGAGCTTTGTTTTAGCCACTAGAACAGACAGAGACAAACACCCATCTCTCACCCCGAAGAGTATTCTCGTCCTGTTCAATATGGCAGCCACTGGCTACTTGTGGCTACTGAGTGCTTGAGATACAGCTAGTCCAACCCGAGGCGGGCTGTAAGTAAAATATACACACCAGGTTTTGAAGCCTTGCAGTAAAAGAAAAAAAGGAAGAAGACGTGTGATTCCACTTCCTCCCTGGACTCATCACCAATGGAAGGGGCATCCGCCCAGGCATGGAAGGATGGGTTCAGGGCCAGCCCCAGCCCAACTGGAGAGCCCGGTCCAGAGTGAGCAGCACCCATGGCCCGATCTAGGCCATTCAGACCAACCCTCCCTTCTCGGCAGATCAACCAGCTGAGGCCCAGAGCGGTGGAGACGCCTACCCGAGATGGCACAGCAGGTGCGGGCTGGGCGAAGGCCCCTGGAACGGCCTTCAGAGCTCCTTCCCCGCCTGTCTCACCCACCGCCTCCGGCCCTGGGCTTCTCCCTCCCCTTTGGGCAAACACTCCACCAACTCCCAAGTGACGATGGCCCACAGGACCCCCGAGGACTTTGAAAGTCCAGGTGTGCACACCTCACCTGGGATTTGTACAGCTGCGCCTCCACCTTCACACCAAAACACAGTCTGCAGGGGCCCATCCTCACATCCTGCCCCCTGTGGACCCTACTCCCAGGGGACTCCCCGACTTTATGAAGGAGACAGAACACACCCTCTCCAGCCCCCCAAGAAATGGGGAGTGAGCCTGAGGCGAAAGGACCAGCCCTGCCCCCACTGTCTCTGTCCCTGTGTGTCCTGCTCAGTGGGGGCCTCCGGGCTCAGCTGTGCTCAATTTGACCAGAACTTGTAGAAACTTCGGGGCACAGGGGACCCTCAACACAGAGCCACATGGATGCGGATCTCAAAACAATGCCAGCATGGCTCAAGTTCACCCCCTGCCACTCCGGGCTGAGGGGCGGAGACCCGAGCGGGAGGGTAGGAGGTGCGGGGCAAACAGGATGGATGTCCCCTCCAAGACCCGGCTGCCCAGAAAGGAGGAGAGGCCCAGGCCGTGTTCCCAGGGCCACCGGTCCTGTCCAGACCCCAGGGGCAGAGGGGCAACCTCAGGAATGGGTTTTCACGCTGCTCTCAGGTAAGCCCACCACCCCCAAACTCTTAGAGGAACTTCGTGACTGTGCTCCCCACCCCCCACTGCCCCTTAATTAGGCATCAAAGCCAGGAGCTGGCCTTCACTGGGCCACCCCCTGGGAGTACCTGTCATCCCCATTTAAGGAGGAGACTGAGGCTCAGGGGACCACGGACCTCACACTGTGAAAAGGCCACAGGCAGCTTCCTCGTCCTCAGCCTCAGTTGTCCCACCTGCAAAGCACACCTACCCATTCTCCCTGCTTGCTAGGGGGGGTCGGGGTGGGCTTGGGGTACAGCGTGGGGAGATGGGAGGGGTGCAGGGGAAAGGAGTGCTGTTGGCGGGAGTGACAAGAACCAACGCCTTGAATCGTTAACAAAAATGCTGACAGACACTGAGCGATCACTCCACTCTGGGCGCAGTGCAAAGTGCTGGATCACCTCACTTCATCCTGGCGGGGACCCCAAGTGTGGGAACTCTCATTGCCCCCGTGTTGCCCACCTAAAAACGGAGGTTCGGAGCGGTACAGCGACTCCCCTCAGGGCACCCCGCTAAGAGAGGGGAGCCGGGAACCCGCGCTCTCGGGGTCCTGGGCGCGGAGACGCTGACAACGACCCTGGTGTCTGGTTTCTGGCTTCTCCTGGCGGGTTAGGGTCCCCTTATCCACTGGCGAGCTCCAGGCGGCAGGGGCAGCGACAGCGCCGTGGCCGCGCACCCCCTGCGCCCCGCGCTCTCCCCTCACCTCGCGTACTTGGTCTTCTGGAAATCCAGGAGCCGCGGGGCGAACATCGCGGCCGTTCCATCGGCGTCCAGCCCGGGCTCAGAGAAAGCGAACTTGGCGGCCCGCGGGGAAGGCGAGCGCGGGGCGCGGGCGCAGCAGGTAGGCGGGTGTGGGGCGGGGGCGGCGGGGGGCGCGGGGCCCAAGCCCGACCGAGGGTGCCAGGAGCCGCCGACGCAAATCCCCACCAGATGGTGGCGGGGCGGGGCGGGGGGCTCCGGGCCAATCGCCTTAGTCCCCGCGACCCGGGCGCCCTCCCTGGGCGGGGCGGACCCCTCCGGCTCTCGCCCCGGGTAGGGGAGCTGTGGGGGCGACAAAGGGACCTCCTGACTGCCGCCCTCTCTTCCTCTCACAGCGTCCCTGTCGCCCTCCTCGCCCTCGCCCGTAGATGTTTAAATCGAGAAGGCGACGGCCCCCGCGCTGGAAGGCAGGGGACACCGCCTGCGCGCCTGACCTCGGCCCCAGCGTGGCCCGTCCCCGAGTGGACTTGTAGCTCACACTCTCCCACCGCCAGCGCGGCCTGTCTTGTCCCTATGAGACGCAAAGACCCCAAAGGACCCACCCCGAATGGCTGCGGTCTCTGGGGACCCCCACCAGAAGCTGTGACACTGGGGGCCCTCAGAACCTCCAGATGCGAGCACACACCCTTGGTTGCCAGGTTGCCAGAACCCAGGGTACCCAAGGTCTGCCCGCGCCCTCCACGTCTTCTGTGGAACCCAGCTTTCTCCTTCAGGAGGCCTCGACCAGGGTTCCGGCGGTGGGCAGCCACCTACCGGAAGGGGGGACACCCTTGGGGGCTGCGGGAGGCAGGAGACCCTTCAACGTGAGTGACAGATCCCAGATCTAAAGGTCGAGCCCTTCCTCCCCATGCCCACCTCCTCCTCCTCCCCTCCCCCTCCCCTACTTCTGATCCCCAAGCCCCGGCTCTCTGCCAGTTTTTATAACAATGCTTTTTGAGATCCTACTGCGTTCAGGAAACCACCCACTCACGCCCTCCACCCAAGGTGCTGGAACGAGATGGAGAAAGACAAACTCCCTTCCTCCCGTGGGCACGCACACCTGTTACGGGTGTGGACCAGTGGGGCCACAGGCAGGTGCAGTGGGGGAGGCCCGGCTGGGGAGGGAGGGCTGGAGGTGGGGACCAGAGCAGGGATCCGGGGTGTTTACAGGGGAAAAGCCACCAGACCCCATTAATGGATCAGAAGGGGACAGAGGAGTCAGGAATGACCCCTGACCCTGCTGGGTGGGGACCGCCAGGTGGCCAAGTGCAGGGGGAGTGAGAGGGAACTAGAGGGGGTGCAGCTGGGACGGGAGGGGAGGTGCCAAGTGAGCCTGAGGTCCAGGCTGGCAGGAGTCGAAGGCCAAGCGTCTGTTGTGGGCCCGCAGGACAGGCAGCCCCGCAGTGAGGAGGGGCCAGAGGGCTGAGCTGCAAGGTCCCTCTGGGGACTTGAGGGCTTTAGACCCCCCCCCCCGGACCTATCAGAGTTGTCACTCCGACACCGTAGCCCCTGCCTCGAGTGGCTTCCACATGACATAAAATGACATACCATGTGCAGTGCTGTGCCTGGGTCCCCCGGGCCGCGCTTCAAGTCCCCAACAGCCATATGTGGCCAGTGGCTGCCGCAAGGGGCCATTTCCAAGGTGGCAGGAAGTTCTGCGGGACAGCACTGCAGTGACCCCCGAAGATCGGGGTACACTCCGGAAGCGCATTTCGGTGGTTTGTATGTTTCTGCGTCCGGGTCAAGAGGGGCCGGTGTTTCTTCCGGGGAGTCAGGCTCACAGCCACAGCGACCGGTGCCTCCTGTTGCCTCACTGGAGGAGGGAAAGCGAGGCCCAGAGGGACCAGGGGCCTCCAAGCTCACGCAGCCCCAGGACCCTGGAGCCGAGCTCCTGTGCTCTGAGCTCACGGCCAACACGGATCTCTGGCCGGAATGGTTTGTCAGACTCCCGGAGTGGAAGGCAGCCCGAGGCAGGTAAGGCCAGCCCTGCCCCACACGGCCTCCTTCCTGACCTGACCTCCCTCCCAGTCACTCCGACCCCCAGCCCCACCCCAGGCCGCTCTGCCAGCGGAACCAGGACACCCCCATCCGTCCCAGGTGCCAGCCAGACCTCCTCCTCAGCCCCCAACGTCCATTCCCCAAAACATCCCTGGTGGCTTTGCAGAGCCCTGACCTCCCATGGCCCCTCTTCCCAGGGGGTCCACGGGCACCCGCAGGTCCAGGCCTGGACCTCCGAGAGCCCCAGGCCCTCCTACAGTCAACCTTCAGCAGGCCTTGGCCATCGACCCGGCGGGACCCAGAGGAGACCCCTGAAACAGAAAAGCCTGGAAATGGATTTTCTTTTTCTCCAAGAGCGAAAGAAGTTGAATAAGAAATAAGTTGCTATTTTTACTGCCAGCATCCAGTTGTTATGGCGACCGAGGGCCTCGCTCCTGAGCCAGAGTCAGGGTTGGGTTTGTGTGTGCTCGGGAGGAAGGGGGGGTTGGCACTGGGGCAGCAGGGGACGGGCCTCAGGCTCCCCCCGACAAGGGGGCCTTCACAGGGCGCTCGGTCTGTCCCACAGCCAGGCCAGGAGTCCTCCTCTGCTCCCCGCTGAACCCCCAGCCCCAGTGGGTGGTCCCCAAGAATGGCCCCCTTTGGTGCAAGCCAGCCTCCTGACAACTCTGAGGTCCCCGGCTCCGCCCAGCCTTGTCACCAAAGCCTGTCTGCCATTCCTGGGAGTGGCTGACATTCCTCCTCTCCAGAGGGGACCGGCACCCCTGCCACAGGGACAGCTCACGGGCAGAGAAGCAGCTCCGCCCTTCGCCCTCTCCTGGCCAAAGCCCAGCTGGCCATCTTCCCCACAATGTTGCTGCTCCTCCTCTGGTCCCCCCACCCAAGGTGGCAGCAGTGCCACCTGTCGGGCCAGGATGGACAGTGGCTGCAAGCTCAGAAGGTGGTCTTCCTGGGACTCAAGGCCTGGCTCCACCACTGCCCAGCCCTGTCCTCTAGGGCCAGGGGCGTGACGCTCAAGCCTCAGTGTCCTCGCTCATAAAGTAGGGCTGACCGAAGGGCCAGACGTGACGTCATTCCTTTCCCTGAAGGAAAGAAGCACTTCCCAGGACCATGCCTGTCACGTGTCACGGGCAGGGGTCCGGAGAAGCAGGCTCTGAGATGAGATTAGCTTGAAGAAATGTATTATTAAGTGGCCGTTCTCAGGGTCCCAGCAGGGCTGCATGGGGTGTGGGGGAAGGGCAGGAAAAAGCAGCGGGAGTGGCTGGGCTGCTGGGCTCTGGACAGTGGCCTCAGCACCTCCGGGGGCAGTTCTGAAGCTGGGGAGACCCCTCAGGGGTGCCTCCAGGGGTGAAGGAGTTGGGCCTTGACGTCCCCATCCATGAGTCAGTGTAGTTCAACTACAGGAACCGGGCGAGCGGTGGGCAAGGCCGCCCCCGGGGGGCCGCCAGCCTGGAGGGGCACTCCTCCTCCCGGTGACCGGGGCCTTACTGCTCTGAGCTGCCGGCAGCCTCTTCCCGGGGCCCCTTTCCTCTCTTCCCAGCCTCCCACCTCCTCCAAACAGAGGGCCCTTCTCACCTCTGCTCCCGTCCCATCTCTGCCGAGGGGCAGAGGTGAGCGCCAGAAGCAAATTGGGTGGGTGTGTGGGACCAGGTCCTGGGGCTTTTTTGTCTTCTACACACCTCTCATCTCAGCCCGGGAGTCACCGTCCAGCCCTGTAGGAGGAGCGGCTGGCATCACCTCCTTCAAGTCAAAACCATCTCAGGTTCTCTGAGGACCTGGGGCAGGAGCCGCCTTAGAGGATGCAGCCAAATTCAAACCCAGACTCACCACCGACTGCAACTGTGGGGCCGAGAGTCAGACAGAGCAGAACAAACACACAGAACAGGAGCGAAGGGAAAAAACCCGGCAGGCAGCATCGCTAAGAACCTGACTTGTCACAATCGCTGGAGAAGGAGGAGACTTGCCCACACTGGGGAAATCCTCCAGATCCGTATTTAAAATTTCACGTGAGACAAAGACAAAAATAATGTTCATCACAAAGTCATGAGACGCAGTAAGTAGATACCAAAACTTCTGCTTCTGTCCCGAACGCATAAGAAACACAAAATATAAAGTTTATCTAGACAGGTATTGATAAATTGTGCTCCACACTTATGACCTCAGTGCAACTGACCCTGAATTTTTACCGACCCAGGGAGCCCGGGAGACTGGGCCTGGCCCAGCCTCCAACTGCCGTGTGATCTCAAACAGCTCACTCGATCCGGGCCTCATTTTTTACTTCTAAAATGAAGGTAGTCCAGCTCTGGAGGTTGTGAAGTTCAATGATGACAGTACCAAAATAAGAACAATAGAGTAACCATACCCCACCAGCTCTGACGACGGGCCCCTCTCTGCTAGGGCCTCTCTAACATGGCCAGCCCCCTGCCTGTCCGGGCCCCATCTGCCCACTTACCCACCATCTGGTTCCTGAACCTCCCTGATCCCAGGCTCCCCAAGATGGGAGCCAAAGCCCGGGATCCAACTGGGAGGGTCCCCTAGGTTCCAATGTGCTGCGCTTTGCTGCCCTCTTGTGGCCACAAGTAGAATTACTACGCTTTGAAAAATTGTTGACCATGGGGAGTTGGCTCTGATGGGGTGGAGAAGACGTGCTGGTCCACAACAGGGGCAGGAAGGGCGGTTTTCCAATTTGCATCCGCGGAGTTCCATCCAAGCCCAGACCTGAACCATGGGCAGAGGGAGGGGCAGGTGCTACACGATGGGGAAGCCTGCACTGTGGGGAGGGGGGGGGATAGAAGAACAATGGTCTAGAGCAGGGAGTAGAGGGGAGGCGGTCCCAGGTGAGATGGAAGAGGTGAGCAAAGGTTGCACAGAACGGGCCCTTCGATTTTGTCGGGAGGAGGGTGGGCAGAGTGTCCATATCCCATTGCCTTTCAGGATTCCTCCGAGCGATGCTTCCCAGAGGTTGAAAAAGGCTGAGAGTGGAATTGCGGAAGCCAGACGGAAGCCTTTTCCCACCCCCGGATTAGAGAGGAGGGTACCTGGGACACTGATGGGAGTGACGAGGCAGAAATGGCTGGTTTCCAGCTATATTTT